ACATGCCAAAAAATCCCTTTTTCCTACTGTTTTTGAGTTTTATATACAAGGTGCACCAGAACAGTCATGGGGAAAAAAAATTTAAATTGCTTCAACTTGGCATACTTCACATGGTTTTAATCTTCCCACCCAAGGCAACCTCAACTAATCTAATGTATGCACATAATGATTCTTCATTTGTTTAACAAGTCATTTATGCAAGAAGAACATGAATTTGAAATGCTAACCTAATCTCCAGCATCAAGAAGAGTTATGTCAGGTTGTCTGTATGCAAGACCTAACTGTTGGCAGTTGTTTCTTTCAGCAGCCAAACCATTTTTGAGAGTGACTGCTTTCTGCAGTGAATCTCCAGTGATTTTGTCCAGTTTTTCATGTATTTTGCACTGAACTTAAACACAAATCTTGAAGTAGTCTTTGTCTCCAAATTAGCATTCTGTAGGCAAAACCTTTCATGCCTTTGTGTTGCTGAAAGTAATTATTACCAGGCTGTTATCGACCAGCCCATTTCCTGAGTGCAAAAGACTTTCTGCTTTCCTCCTTATTGATGTTATTCAGTGAGGAAATTTTTCAAATTAATTTGTAATGTTATGTATTATTCTGAGCTGCATCATTATCGTTAATAATAATTATTATTATAATATAATAATATAATGATTTATCATTATTATTATTGGTTTTGTTGTTGGTATTATTATTATTATTATTATTATTATTATTATTATTATTATTATTATTATTATTATACTCTGTATTACACTGAGCTAAATGTGGACCTCTCTAGCTTCTTTGCACCAGCCCAGTGGTCCAAGGATGCTGTAAAGCTGATCTGATCCAGAAGGGCAAAAGGCTTTGAAGGAGGGGATATCTCAACAATCCACATGGATGTAAACCACTTGGCCAGGGAGCAGTATAGGGACATGACTACATTAGTTGTATAGACCACAGTAGCAGTATAAAAAGTCTGTAAGGCTTAAATAAGGTATGATGCAAACTAAAGATTGCATTAAATTTCAAGAAGCTTAAAAGAAGAGACTCTTAAAAAATATTTGAAGGTGGTAATTAAACCCTTGAAGTGGACAGCCCAGAAACAGGGCTGTGGCCAGTGTCTTTGCAGAGTCACAAACATGCTCACATCTCTCCTGTTGCATGAGAAGTGGAAGGGAAGGCGCTCCTGGCTCCTGTCCAAGGTGCCATTACCCTTGGGAGCTGGAGTGTCTCTGAGGTTAATCTGGTGAAAGTTTTGTTTGGTTTACAAACTCTGAGTGGCCCATGGGCAGACAGTTGAGGGGTCCATTTCAAGACTTTCTGTCAATCCTTGAATGCTAGGAATATGGTGACTGTGTGAGTCTTTTATTCACGGGGTTCCCAGACGAAGGAAGAAATTATGACTCTGACTCCATGTTCTTAGAAACCTAATTTATTATTTTATTATCTGTATTATATTAAAAAATACTAAACTAAACTATACTAAACTATACTAAAGAGTACAGAAGGGATACAGACAGAAGGCTAAAAGATAATTAAAAAAAACTTGTGACTCTTGCCAGAGCCCCGACACAGCTTGACCCTGATTGGCCAATAAGTCAAAACAATTCACATGAAACCAATGAAACAAGCACCTGTTGGATAAACAATCTCCAAACACATTCCAAAGCAGCAAAACACAGGAGAAGCAAATGAATAATATTGTTTTCCTTTTTCTCTGAGGCTTCTCAGCTTCCCAGGAGAAGAATCCTGGCCAAGGGGATTTTTCCAGAAAATATGACTGCCACAATCTGAGCTGAATTCTCACTCTTTTCTCCATTTCTTTTTCTTATTCCAAGCAAATCTCAGTTGAGTGGACCTGTACAGCTCAGGTCTTCAAACTTGAAGTCTACTTAAAAGCTTTGTGAGATTGAAGATAAAGACAAGGCTGAGCTTTCCCTAAAAAATTAGGCAGATATAAAGTGTGTTCTTACTGTTGTAAACCTGATTTATCTTCTACTATTACCAGCAAAACAACAGTTTGTGAACAGATATTTTATGATACAAAACCTGCACTGAGGAATTAGAAGGGGTATACTAGTAGGTGCCAGCATTATAATGAGCATAATTAATTTGGATATATACCAAGAGCAGTGTTGCACTAAATATTCAAAAAAGACCCCTGATTCATCACATTTTAATAGTCTTTTCATTGCAGAGTTGTAGAATAAAAGTAAGGCCACCCAAAGTCAACTTCTGCCTTCACTTGCAACCTTGCTCTTTGTTGTGCACAATTTAATAAGCTTGATGTTTTAGATGATGAAATTTCAATGTAAACTAAATACCAGTATTCAGATTTTCATGAGTTTGCAATTAAGATTTTTTCTCAAATGTCTGTTAAGTTTTAGATTCTCTAGTAAGTTTGAATGAAAGTGTGAAAGCAGCACACTTAAAAGACTGCATTTATAAATTTTGGTATTGCATTATGAATTTTGGTATTACTGCGTCCCTCTCAACTGTAGAAATCGCATCACTTATACATCTGTGTCTGGATAATGGAAATGTTTGTTCTGCTTGTTGAAATAGGTAGACTTAGCAAAAAGTGTAATAGCAGCTAAGATCAAGACTTTGAAAAGCTTCATTATGATTGACTGTTACTTTCCATGCTGTTAAAATTATGTTTAATCAATTGCTTTGGTATTTATTTGTTTATGCCAAAAAATAATCCTGGGGACACTAATAATCTACTTATTTGGAAAAATACATGTTTTGCAAAATGTACCTTGTGGAAATAAGCCCCTTATAAAATCTTTAAATATTTTGTACAGAGAAATGCCCATAGAATTCACTGAAAAGAATATTGTGAATTTCAATAAGCTTTTGTTGATTAGGCAGCAGGTGGAGGTAAACACTTTCTATCACCGTAAGAGCTCTGCTTCTATTCATTGCAAGAACAGCATGATTAGACGTCCAAAGATTACAGAGTACATCGAGCAAAACCCTTCAGTAATGGTCTATAGAGACCATTAAACAAAGCAAGTCCAAGAACTTTTAAACTTGAACTGGCAATAAAAATTAGATGGCAAAACTGAAAAATATGCAGCATTTAAGTGAGATAAGGCCCATGACCAGTGAAGGAACTTTATTCTATTTATTCAGAGTTTTTCCTGTCTATCCTCTGTCATGCTAACCCAAAAGTCATTTACATATTGGTTGATGGTTTGGGCTTTATTGCTGCGTTAAATCATAATGTCTTTAATTACTGCTAACAAAGCATTGTCGTTATTATCTGACAGTGCAGTCTCCAGACAGACCTGTCCTGGAATCACATGTGATGGCAACAGCACTGAGCAGCATTCCCAAATGTGCTTTCTTGTCCATCTGTGAAGAAGGCAGGCAGTCATCTAAGGTCTGAGCAGGGATCAGCAGCCTGGGTGAGGGCACAGAATCCTTGTCACCTTTGAGAGCCACTGCCCCTCTGTCACTGTCCTGGCCTGAGCAGATCAGGTGGGAGCAAGCTGGATATGTCTGCTCACAACGCAATCAAACCTTCAGGTCAGCTCTGGACAAACCTTCAGCTACTCCTGCATATCTCAGACCTTTGGAGAGATATTCATTTTGATAAACCACAGGGCTTAGTACCGGATAACGTTAAAAGCAGAATATAAATGTTGCTGCTTTCATTCTCATCTGGAAGATTCTCCAGCAAATTGCCCAAGAAATATTTTCTTCTCCTTCCAAAGGGTTTTTAGAAACGTAGCTTTTATTGTGTACCTCTCCCACACTACAATCCTGTACATTTTCCCCATTTTCCAGAAGAGAGACTTGTAGATGCTTGCAGCATCTACCTCCTCCTGTGTTAGTTACAAACTTGTTATATAAATGGAGTAAGGAAAGTTTTTACAGGACTTTCACATTATGGAGTTTATTTACATCATGAAAGTGTCATATTCAGATCATACTTTCTCAAGGTATCAATCAAGATAGTGTTTGAATCTACTTGAAAATCTGTTTTTAAAAACCACCCTAAATTGAAATTAGGATTGTTGGTGTCTTCTCATGCACAGTGCTAAAAATGAGAGAACAGATCCAGTACTAATGACTTCAAATGTTTATCATAAAAGCTTTCTAGGTCCATTCAACATGAAGTCTGCATTTCTGCGCACCCTACCAAAGAAAAGTTCCAAATGTGCATTCCCTACACAATCCTTTCATTGGGATTTTTTGCAACTGACTCATGTTCTGAAGAAATCTAACTCAGAGATAAAACCCACAAAATTATGTATTTTCCATTTTGTTTTCCCTAGCAGGTTCCCCGACAGGTCTTTTGAAATGAGCTAGTCCTCTTGAAAAGCACTCCATAAATTGTAAAATATTTGATCAAACACTCTTCTTATTAGTTTTTCAGGAATGGAAGGAAGTTTCATCAAAAGAGCAAGCCATCTGACCCCCCAAAATTGAAGCAGCCCCAGGGCCCAGCAATCTCAGCAGCAGTGAGGGCAGCATGTCCAGGAACATTACTTAAATTGAATCTTTTTTTGTACCACTGCAATAGTACAGCATCCACATTAAAAATGGGTCTCAAGTGCTGCTCATTTGGAATGACACCATTACAACTTCACAACCTAGAAATGAATTTTCTATTTCTACAGAACATAGTTATGATATTTGGCATGACATCAGCAGGTATAGAAAATCTGTCCATGTAGTACCGTATCTGATCTGTAAACATACCATTTTTTCATCTTCTCAATTCGTTAGCATCTATAATATTGTTTCTTCTGTGTGTATCTTCTTCTTCTGCACAAGTTAAGTTAATCTTTTCTTCCTTACACCCTTTAGCTGATGTCTCACTGAACTGCTAACATGGAGGTGAATCATAGCATGGTCATTTCTTTAAAACAGGAAATGTGATCTTTGACAGTATCTAGCACATTATTTTACAGACGCTTTTTATAGATGATGCACTGAATTAAGTTTTATTTAACAATGTCAGTTGTGTTCATTCACATGCTCTGCCAATTTTTTTATCCTAGGTACACGAAAATGAAGACTGCCACCAACATCTATATTTTCAATCTTGCGTTGGCAGATGCCCTAGCAACAAGTACTCTGCCATTCCAGAGTGTGAATTACTTGATGGGAACCTGGCCATTTGGTACCATCCTCTGTAAGATTGTTATATCCATAGATTACTACAATATGTTCACCAGTATCTTCACACTCTGCACCATGAGTGTGGATCGCTACGTGGCTGTTTGCCACCCAGTTAAGGCCCTTGATTTCCGCACTCCCCGAAATGCCAAAATTGTCAATGTCTGCAACTGGATTCTTTCCTCTGCCATTGGCCTGCCAGTCATGTTCATGGCTACTACTAAATATAGGCATGGTAAGTCTGGCTTTCATTCCTAAATTGAGTACTCTACATTTAAACTCCTTTCTGCATTGTTTCACTGTAGTGTAGAGGCGTTGAATTAACTTCTGACCTCCAACCTGTGTAAAGCAAGTATCAGTGCAAATGAACCCCTTCAACAATTTTACATCTGGCTGTAGTTGATTGGACATGCAGTGCATGTGATCTGTGTTTTACAACAAGCAGCTCCAGCTCCTTCAGTGGACCCGTGCAAGTCTTGATGTCCCGCTTGGTTGTCCCACTGTCCCACTGTAGTGTTTGGAAAAGCCAATCTGTGCCTGCCTGCCTTCTGCTGTGGGGCAGTTCTGCACTGCCCTTCAGCATAGGAGCCTGTGCTTTACCCAGGATACTCCCACTGGGAAGCTGGCAGTCATAGATATGTTACTCCCTGTTTGGCAGGACATGATACAGAGCAGAGAGCATGTTCTGGACCACTGGTGCTCCAAGACCTTCCATAAAGGGGCAGTGGCGGCATGTCAGCATAAATCCAGACCCTCCACAGTGCATAGTTACCAAGTGTCATGTCATTCTCTTCCCCTTTACCCTGAAATGCCCAAACTCTCAGCATATATGGTGGCTTAACAATCTTTCTTTTCACCATGTTTTATACTGAAAGTGAATATCAGTTACAGTTTAAGCATATATGACAATTCAACTCTTTTCCTTGTTTAGTATACATTAAATTCCAAGCCATAATATGCAAAAGTGAACTTGTTAATTTGGTTTTGTTTTCCTAACTTAACGCTTCATGCATGTTTTGCAGCACTCTGTCCTACCAATGTTTGTGCAAATGACAGGTCACAGATTGCTTCATTTTCCATGTTTGCTTAGGTGTAAAGTCTTCATATATTTGCTTCCTATGATACTTAATTAAAGAAAGGATTAAAGAAAAGCAAATGAAAAACTGACCTGACTGTTCTTCTCTGCTCTTTTCCTTTTCCTCAGGCTCAATTGACTGCACCCTTACATTCTCCCACCCTGCTTGGTACTGGGAGAACCTCCTGAAAATCTGTGTGTTCATCTTTGCCTTCATCATGCCAGTCCTGATCATTACGGTGTGTTACGGGCTGATGATTTTACGCCTGAAGAGTGTTCGCATGTTATCCGGCTCCAAAGAGAAGGACAGGAACCTGCGGAGAATCACAAGGATGGTTCTCGTAGTGGTGGCAGTGTTTATTGTCTGCTGGACTCCCATCCACATTTATGTTATCATTAAAGCCCTGGTCAACATCCCAGAAACTACTTTCCAGACTGTCTCCTGGCACTTCTGTATTGCTCTAGGGTATACAAATAGCTGCCTTAATCCAGTCCTTTATGCATTTCTAGATGAGAATTTCAAAAGGTGTTTCAGAGAGTTCTGCATCCCCACTTCCTCAACCATTGAGCAGCAAAACTCCACCCGAGTCCGACAAAACACTCGTGACCATGCTTCCACTGCCAACACTGTGGATAGGACTAACCACCAGGTATGACTAGCAGTGGAGATGTCATCTCTGGATCCAGGCCACCCGCTTGGAGATGACATGTGCTCTGAAGTTACCACTTACACTGATTTATAGCTTTTGGAAGGTCTGAACACTTTCAAGGTTATATTTGAAACTGGTGTATGCATACACAGAGACCCCAGTCCTGCATGGTGCTAAGTTGTTCTCTGCCTTGCTTGATGCTCAGAAGCCTCAGAAGGGTTCTAAAGAGTACCTTGAGTGACTGGGCCAGCGTGCATGCATGTACAAAGCACATTAAAAAAAACAGTGTTTCACTTGCAAGGTGTTTGCAACAGGTTGAAAAACACAGATTTCCCTGTTCATACTCCTTGTCTGCTGATGGAGACAGGAGTGGGACAGAATACAGATCTCTCGTCTTCTCTTATTGCAACAGAGAATAAAAAGATAAAAAACTCTGCTTGTTCACTTTGATTGATGTACAAAGAAGGCCTACCTAGCCTTGTTTGTCCTGGAAGTCATGCAAGAGATAGACCAAGGCTTGTCTACATGCAGTTCTTGTGTCAGATAATTATGGGTGAATAAGGTGGGGTTAGATATGTATATATATGTATATATAGATATGAAAATATGTACACACATGTTAAATATTAATGTGCCATTTTGCCATTTCAGGTATACCAAGGAAATACCTTTTCTATGTAGAAAAAGCTTTTAAGAAGTAGGGATTTTATGGCACATCAGATAACAAGGGTTCTTTGTGGTTTTTTTATTCAGCCTATTTTTGCATCGTTTTTGCAAAGAAGCTGTTTTGTACATGTTCAATATTCATAGTCCTGTGCTTAGTCTTGAGATTTTCCGAGCTTCATCTCTCAGCAAAACAGGAAAGCAAATCTTAACATTCATGAAAGTAATTCAAGCACATTGCAATTGCTAAAAGAAGTTCGAGTTGTCTTTGTAATTCCTTAGAAATAAGAACAAAAGGCATAAGCCTGCTTCATTCCTTGCCGTATCACCTTTCAGCAATATACTCAGGTTGCTCATGCAACAGTTTCTCACTGCTGCCACTTCAGCCACAAGCTGGCTGCCTCCTTGAGATGCAAACTCAGTGGCTTCTTGTGAAAGCAGCTGCCTGACACTCAGCTGCTACCAAATAGCCCAAATAAGAGTATTCCCATCTCCAAGGAGACTAAACAGTAATTGCACCACAAAAGAGGAGGGAAGTCTAAAGGGAGAAGGGCTAAAGCGAGAAGCTTCATTGAGCATCAACGACTGGTGTTGTTCACCTGTGTCTGACTCATACATGCCAAACTGTGGCCTGTGAAATCGGCACCTGCTCAGTCTGGTGGGGAAGCAGAACTGCCAAGCTTGGCATAGGTGCACATATATATGTATGTATGTATGTATTGTAGTATTTACTAGGTGTAGCAAATTACTACATTAATTTGTTAATAATGCATTTGTAATCCTCAATGGTGTCAATTTTGTGCATGTGTCTGACAGCAAGATTGTATTTCTGTCTAGTACAATTCCAGCTTTTTAGAGTGCAGTGTGCATGCACCCATTTTCTACATTTAGTTGTATCTCTTTATATTACTTCTAAGAGAGCTGTAGCCTTCTAAACTACCCATAGAAAAGATTAATGCGTACTAGGTACTGCCTAGAGGCTGAATGGAATAAAATCTGTTTCCCTTAGCACTCAGCAAGCACAGAATAGAAGATGATGTTTCCCAGAGAGATCTACACCACCAAGAGAGACAGCCTGCTGGGGCAGGGATGGAGCAAGCAAGTGAAGTGATCTTGAGAGTGGCAATAAGGAGGAAGCTAGTCCTATAGTTGGGTTCTTTGCTGGTTAGGGTTTGTTTTTTTTCCTTCAGGGAATAGTGATGAAGTAAATTAATTATGAAGAAATCATGCATATGTAAAGAGCAGGGAAGGGAAGGACACTGAAGAGAGGGGGAGGTGAGAGGAAGAATGCTGAGGAGAGAGGGAAACATAAGGAATGAGATCCAAGTGAGGCAGTAAGGATGGAAACTGAGGCAAAGAGCCAATCTGCATGAAACAAAAAAGGTGTATGCAGAGCTGGAAGAAATTGTCTGACTGATTTGATAGCTCTTCCTAGCAACTAACCATCAGTTTTCCCCAGAGCCAGGGAGAAGAAGCTAGCACTTGGTAGCTCAGGTCCTCATAGGTGGGTGGATAGGACTTTGCATGTTCGGCTATTTGAAAGACCCTGGAGTGGCCAACTCCCTTTCCCTCACCACCATCCCTGCAGTCCTGGCTTTGGCAGCTACTGATGCCAGATGTGCTCCCTGACTGCTGACCTGGGCCTTCTCCCTCGAGTTCAGCAGCTATTTGGTACAACCTTTCTCACTCTCCACAATGTCCATGGAATACATTCATTCCATATATTCATGTTCAATAGCAAACCATGTTCAAAGCTTAATATTAAAGTTAATTTATCTTTTTTCTCTTGCAAACATTGCTGTAAGAGACATTTTTTGATGTCTGCTTTTATCAGAATGAAACACAAGATTGTTGAACTAATCTACACTAAAAAAGTTCTTGGGATAATAACTAAAAATGTAATACCTAATATTTTTATATTATTATTTTAAACACAAAAGGCCCTACAGTGAATGCAGCTTTAGCTTTCAGAAAATAAAAAAGAAAATAAACCCCCAGACAAACAATATTTGCTCAGACAGTGAGATTCTCTAAATTCTATAGACAGGGTATTCTTTTTACAGGTAAGTGCTTTCTGTAAAATAAAGTATAGCTTGTGTTTCTGTTGATTGAGGTATACTGACAAGCTCTTTCTTGTATAGACAAGGCCTTGGAGAGTATTTGGTATGAATTCTAATTGCAAGGCTGTGTAGTACTTGGCACACTTCATACAATTTTCTAAGAAACAGGTGTTCTACAAGTTGCTTTTTTGCCAAGTGAGAATTCTTTTCCTCTGCTAAATGAGAACTGCAAGGCTCATTGCATAAGGCCTAACACTTAAAGCATTTAAAAGCATTTAGAATTGACACTCTTAAGTACTTAAATTGTTGGAAGGAACAACAGTGTCTTCTACCAGTTTAAAAGCACCAACAGGAAACATCATAAACATTCATATTATTCTGAGTTAATATAGTGGCCTTGGGCCTACTCAGTGGCTCCTTGGCATTATCAAAAAGGTCTAGATTAAGTGCTTATAATTTTCAGGAGGGTTTATGCAATCCTACAAGTGCATTTGCAAGGAGAAGGATGTAATCTTGGGGGCAAAAAATGCTTGAAAAGCAAAACTTCTTTCTTTGAACTTTATGACCAAGTATTGGCAGGGGAGGGGAATGAAGGACCAAATAGTAGCTTTTGCAAATGGCTGAGGGTTTTTGATGTTGTTGACATTTTAACTGATTCGTATCAAAATCTTGGCAAGTATATTGAAATGGCTTTTACTTCAGATGCTCAGAGACTCTCTGCGTCAATATATCTCTGAGATTAAAAGAAGGTTTAATTTTTTTAATTTAAAATCAATTGATAGTTATTTTTCCCTGAAAATTGAGTTTTTGCTAGTATCTATGTGTTAATAACTAAAAATCCTAAATAATTAGGGAAGTGGATTATTAATAATTATAGAAATCTGAGAAATTTAATTTGTTTCAGTGGATCAGTTTCTTTGTGACCCATTTTTTGTAGCTGCTTTTATAGCAGCTTCACCTGAATATATCCAAGCAATTAAAGAAATTATGTATAGGCACATCTTCAGGATGATTTAGTGTGTAACTCTTCATTTCAATTTTAGCTTCTGATGCTTTTTTGTCAGCTACTGAAATGACTAAATGCCCTAATGGAAACTGTAAATCCTCCCCATATGCTGAAAATGAGACCTCAGATATGTTCAATAACAAAAGGCTCAGCCCTGAAAGTTTTGCCTTTACAGCCTGGATTGGCAGCCACATGTAGAAATGATATTGGATTCAAGAGAAAGTTTTTGAGTTAAAACAAGGAAAAATTGAAAGCTAGTTTCACTTTGATTAAACGAAGAAAGTATTTTCTTACTGCTTAATTTTCCTTGTGCTATACGACCCACTGTGATCAAATGTGGGGAATGCTGGTGATTCCTGTTGCAGAAACATGAAAAAAATTGGACAGCTTATTGGCAGATTCACATCTACCTGAATTAACAGAGAATGGCCTGCCCATGTATTTTTAGGAAATTAATATTTCTCCTTTGTGAATTATACTGTATTTCAATAATAATTTTAAAGTACTGGTTTCTTTAAAAGCCCATTTCTGGCAAGATAGTGACATCTATAAAACATTTGTGATAGATCCTTAAAACTGGGCTTTCTTTTGTAGCTGATATGTGTTGACACGGGCTCTTTGTGAATCTCCAGGCTCCATCCGTGTCTATGCCATTCCATAAACCCTTGATTTGCAGCGTCTCCCACCCAGCTCTCAACAGGTTCTGGTACAAAATTTGCTGAGCAAAAAGGGGTTGCAGCCTTTCAGGATGTGCCATGCAGCAAGCAGGCTTTCTTGATGAAAACATCTCTAGTGCTACCGTGCCTGCATGCAAGTAGGACTCAGCCTGGAGACAGTGGACACGCAGGGATGAGGGATTTTGGGTTTGTTTGCTGGTAGAAGTCCACCTCACACAGAATTTAAACTGGACTATAACTGAAAATCCAAAAATTAGACACTGTTCTGATATGGAAATAGAATGTATTCAACTAAAGCGCTAATTCCCCTATAACTGCTACAGCAAGAATACATGAGCATTTTTCCATGCTCATGAAATTCATAGAGAGTTCCACCCTAGAAAGAACAACTGGCTTGATATGTAGTATATTCTAATTCTAATTCAAATTTCAGACCTACTAATGCTTCTTTGTGATCATTTCCTCTGTTGCTTCAGACAAAAGCACAGTCTTGCCTTACTCTGGGCTATGTGCTCAGCTTTATACATCAGAACAGTGGCTGCAAATGAGAAATAAATTCCTCCTAAAAAAAGCACACACACACTTACTAGTGGGTGGGACGATATCAAGCAATTGTTCATTGTATTTGCAATTTCTTTCCTTTCAGTTGGAACTTCAAGAAGCTGAAACTACTCCACTGCCGTGACAGGGTCTCCTGCTGCATGGCTCTCAGAGCAGTTGCCACTGCCACAGTGTGCTAGTGGGAACATGTAGGATATGCTTTCCCTCAAAAAAATACCACAGAGGAAAGTGCCTGCTTTTCCAGTCTGTCAAAAATTGCTTCTGCAGCACATCTGCATTGCACTTAACAGAAACATGAAATGTTACAGTGAGCAGAGCCAGGGGATACGGGGGCCTTCCAGGCTCCAGTGTTCAAAGCAGTGCTGTTTACCAGGAGCACATACATTAGTCTAAACAAAGCTACTGTGCCTGTAGCAACCTGACACACTCTTGGTAAGTTACAGTGGCATTAAAACACATTGGCGACAAAAATTCAAAGGCTAGACAACTATAGTTGGAAAAATAAGGTGAGCTTTTGAAGCTGGAAAATGATGAGATATGAAGTTGTAATACTGTTGGGTACACTCTATTTACTCTTAAAATTTATTTGTAGAGGTGTTTACCGTGCAGGTTATTTACGTGCTGAAGTCTCACGAGGTCATGTAGAACAGCACATTTGTAGTTCAAGAGTTCTTCTCTTGCAAGGGTTGCATGTTCTGCAGTTTCAAAGGAATTTTTTTCAGTGATCCCTTAAAACAAAAAAAAAAAAAAAAAAAGGCAAACCAAAACACAACAAAAAAAAAAAAACCCTAAAAAAGCCTCCAAGCTTCATCTTCTGCTTCTATTTCACATAAATTTAAAAAATACTTTAAAATCAAAACAATGAGCTATCACTTTTTCTAAAAGAGATGAGTAAATGAAAGTATTCTGCATTGTTATTGATTGTCAAATGATCCCCAAAATAGCATAGATTAACATAAACTTCTTTGTGAATACAAATGTAGCTATAAGCCTGTCACAGCTTGCACAGGCTGATGATGTCTTCTCTTTCAAGTAGTTTCTCAAATTTCAGCTGCTATGTCAGCAGCATTTTCAATTAGTAAGTAAACAAAAGCCCTTATGTGAAGCACTTGGAGCAGTTAATGCATTAGACCTTTTAAAAAAAAAATTTAAAAAACAATTTGCTAGACATCTACTATTTCTTAAACAAATCCATAGTGTGCTTGCTTTTCTAATTAACGTGATACAGTCTGCATCTGCATTTTGTATTAGCTGCTAGAACACATTAAGATTTCAGGAAGAAACAATGTGCTGCAGCAAATGCCTTCTTAGCTGTTTTCTAGTATGAAGATTAGAAATATATATGTAGATAATTCGTGGTTCAATGGTATTTTCTAGACATTGTTTGTTACTTGCTCTGTAAATAAATCATCAGTAGTTAACTGGAGAAAAATTGTACTTTGATGAATTTAAGTGTATTCTGAAATACAACTATATGGAACAGGGGTTTTTTTGGGTTTTTTTTCTTTCTGCAGTCAAAATATATTTCTTATTTTCATTGTTAAAGTCTGTGTAACAATAAGGTTATAATGTGAAATTGTTTGTTTCTGCCATAGACTGCATAATAAAGATTGAAGACCAAATCCTTTCAAGTTGTAAATTAAAGGATTATTTGAGTTTCATCACTGTGTTGCAGCTAAATATGTAGCCTATATACAGCAGAATATGAAGCTAGATATAACAGAAGTGCCTTAATTTTCTTCTCTTTCTGTTGAAAATTCGACTGTGTGGTCATATGAATTTATGTTTAATTTTGTGCTAGTTTAGCTGTATCACTTCATAGCCATCATTAAAGTTTAAACCAGAGTCATCACCATTCTAAGAGGTTTTTGCATCTAATTTTTAAATAGCATAAGATAGGCGCTTGGAATAAGTTGATACCTTGTTTTGCACCACACAGCAGTATTATTTAAATAACAAAACCAACACAGAATACAATAGATTTAAATGGAATAACATCCGATGGCATCATTACTACCTGATGGATTCAGAGTAATCTGACATGATCACAACCAAAAAATTTTAAAATATTGAATGAATATTTGGAAAGTCTTAACTGATAGACCAAAAACATTTTAAAGTAAACTTAAGATCATTGTTTTGTGAGTAGTCAAAAGTTCAGCTTTCACAAAATTTACGTAATTAATTGAAACCATTATTTCTTCTTTACTTTGCATGAAGCACACAGGCAAAATACTGTGACTTGCCAGCAGACAACCAAATTCTTTTAAGGACATTTTCTGTTTCTGCAATCCAACAATTGAGAAACCTGACTGTAAATATGTTTAGCAGTAATAATATTGTAGCCTTTATGGCTTAAGGATATGAAGAAGTAAATTTTATTAGCAGAGCACTAGCAAAAAGTAAGAAAAATGTCTTTATTTTCCATAAGGCTTGAATGTTCATCGGTAGTGCTTTGCAGTAAGTAGCACATTATTACACAACTTCTGTATCTGCATTGTAAACCTTTAATAAAAATGTCTCTGTTTCTTGTGGATTTGCATTCAGCCCCATTGTCCATGTTTGTGGTGAAAGCATTAAATAGCACTGATCCCAAACAGACCCCTGAGGGAGACCATATGTCCATCTGGGCATTGAGCCTTAAACCACTACTCTTTGGGTGTAGCAGTTTCTCATCTATTGAGCAGTCCATCAAAGCTGTATGTGCCCAATTTAGAGAGAAGGACATTGTGGGAGATATGTCAGAAGTCTTGCCCATGTCCAGATCGATGACACCCAAGGCCCCTCTCTAATCCACACTGATGTAGTCACTCCATCATAGAAGGCCACCAGGTTGGTCAGGCAGGATTTGCCCTTGTTGACGCCATACAGGTCCCAAATCACCTCCCTGACCCCTGTGTGCCTTGACATAACTTCTAGAAGTGCCATGATGTTCCCAGACACAGAGGTGAGGCTGATATGCTGGTTCTCAGGAGCCTCCTTTCTAGCCATTTTAAAGACAGGTGCACTGTGTCCCTTTTTCCAGTCACCTGTGACTACACCTGATTGCCATGACTTTTCAAATGTGATGGAGAATGTCCTAGCAATTACATCAGCCAATTCCCTGTTTAGTTGAAGGAGTGTCTATAGAAGGAAGAGGAAAATTGAGTTGACATTTTCCACTGCAGAGATAGTCTCCATGAACCCAAGTTACTTTGTGTGAGTTTGTCTCTCTTGAAGCTGGAATGTAGCTGAGTTAATTGCAGATACTCTAGGAGAAGAAACATGCAGCTGAGTTGGCTTTGAGCTGACTTCTGCCAGTTCACTCAGCTAAAAAAGGGAAGGGAGAGCTCAACAGCTGAACATCGCATCCTTTTGGCTTTATTGTTAATACAGTCAAGGCAGCATGAGTAGGATTACCTGTGCTACAGGCATCTGGCTCTCATTTTGAACAATGGGAAGAAACTTTAGAAATCTACATCATGCCCTTCCATATCTCCCAATTAATAAAAAAAAATAGGGCACTTAGATTGTGTCTTGGGCAAAACAGTCTCAACTAATCCTTGCTAATTAATCATAAGGATTCAGGTAATCAGGAAAAACTCTGGAAATCAATTATGTGCCACTGCAGTGGTAATAATACTGTTTTGGTGGTCTCCGGTGGGTCCCTGCCCCACTGTGTGCTGCCAGCAGACACAGTCCTCCGGGGGGCATCCCTGTCCTTGCTACTTATTTTTCACAGGTTTTGGTGGTGTTGGGATCTTTTTGATCAAAGCAGTTTTCTATATTGGTCAGTGTTTTGCCAAATTTATGAAAAAACAGTTTAGCTCTCATTTCCCAAAGACCATTCAATAATTTTATTTTTCTTTTAAAGTGACCTACTTCTGTGTTACTTGATTTTCTCAAAACTATATTTTTAAGATCATGTTCTCTTGAAAGCCTTTTTGTATAAACAAACTGAAAGATGTTCTTTCAGTTTTTGCTTTGCATCAAACATTTTCTTCAACGTGTAGGATCAAAGTGATGACTTTTGTGTCAGAACAGTTAACTGCCTGGAAAATACATCATCTGGGAATTGCCAGTACTGAAATCTCCAAACCAGGTGATAAGATCAGCACTTTACTTTCTACTGGTATCCAGTTCCTAATTTGACCAGCTGCTGTTTCTCCTGAACTTTTAAAATTTTCTCTTGATTAGTGATTCCATGTACTACATTTTGTCAAATAACATGAAAGTGTTTAACTTTGGCTGAACTTTTTACCTGACACAGGATCATATTCTTCTCCTTTCTTTGCACCCCACAGATTTCCAATAACTAGTTATTTTCTTTTGAACTTTCCAAAGAAGCCAGATATTTGTGAATAAAATGCAGTTTAGCTCAGGTTCATCTGAATTCTCTCTCACTTACCAATTCTGCACATGTACATATTCAAACCTCTTATATTAAATGTTTGCTTGCTTTACTGAATAATGCAGAGATGATACAGGCTGTTCAAATTTAATTGCTTTTTTATATTCCTTCAAGGTGATATTTTCTTGTATCTGATGTTCCAGTGAAGAGAAGACAAAAGAACAGGGAACAGGCAGGCTCCAGGCATACACTGTTCACATGAAAATGATGCATCACATTGTTTCTGCACATCAATTTACTGTCACAGTCTCTTTCTGTAAATATCTATTTTATTTTTCCCTTGTAATGCTGTCAGTAGGCAGCATCAGAAGAGCTCATTCTTCTCAAAATCCTGTACATTGAGTCAGAAGGATAAATACAACCTCTTAGACCCAAATGTGATAAAGGGTCTGATGATGAAGGCAGACAAAGCTTCTTGCTCTGAAAGATTTGCAAATCAAGATTGCTTCTATATACCATAATGCAATTATATAAAAACAGAGAATGGTAGCATCATGACACTAACACAAAAGTTATTATGCAATGTTTATGAGACTTTTATTTTCAAGAGAGGATCAGACCATATCATAATATCCACTTACAATGGATCAAAATTTCATGCTTTGACATTAATTCCTGGTCATGGAGAAGATGAATATCATCACCAGATAAACGCTGAACGGGGGGCCTCCCATTAGTGTTGCTAATAACTATAGCCTCCCTCTGTGCTGATGGTTTCTGGCTTAATGAAGTTCATTACAGAGCAACAGAAAATTAATTTTTTTTAAATGTTTGCTAGAGCATTTGTGTTGCATTTTATACTGCCATCATAATCATCTCTG